CGGGCGTCCTGCTCTCGGTGTCGACGGGCACCTCGGGCTCACGCTCGTCCACTTCAGGGGCCAGATGGCGGTGCTAGCCAGGGACGCGCCTAGGGCAACACACGCAGGGCCTGCCCCCCTCCCCGTCGCCAAGGACATCCAGTCGACAGGGTCCATCCAGTGATGCGCTAGCAGGAGTCGAGTCGCTGAGGCCCGGGCTTCTGATGACCGGAGCCGCCGCATCGACTAATGACACTTGGTAACTGTGCCTTCTTATCGTCTAATAATGTGTTAATTTGTGAAAGGAAAAATATATTCTGTTTTTTTCTCTTGTGTTGCAGCTGTTCTTATTTAACCAGTGGCTTATTTTTTATATTAAATGGGGATACCAATGAATTGGATTCAAATATAAGTAGTAATCCTCCAAAGAACTTCGCTTCTAGTTTCGATTTGAATTGTAAGTATACTGTAAACTAAGTGCCTGATTCAAGGTGGTCCCAAATAAGTAACGCCTCCACCGGGGATCGTCTTGAAAACATATTATTGCTAAATCTTCTTTTTGTCATATTATTGTGGTTTATTTTTGTATTATTTGATGGAGATGACTGTTCAATAGTTTCTATGATTTTGTTTCTCTTCATTTGTTTTTTCTTTTATTTTCACAGGCCAACTGGTTTTCATACAGGAATTACATTTTTAGTGTGCTTGATCCATTGACGGTTGTCATCCATTGCCGTAGTGGTACAAACTACCCTTTCCTTTGCCATATGCTTTGATGGGAAGACTTCTTAGGATCGATTAAACCAACATCTTGGCTCCTTTGTTCTGGACCCTCAATAATCAGTTGTAAGAAAGATAAATTGAAGTACTGTTTAAAAAATTGAAACCACAGCTTTTGAAACTTCCCAGCTATTTCTTTCTCATCATATGTTTCAGGACCTTTGCTGCCTCATCTCAAAGATTTGACTGCTCATATCACTTGGCATTATTGGACCTGCAGCTCAATTGCATATAACTCATGATAAAAGAGTACACTGTCATGCAGTTTGGAGCATTATCATTAGCTGCTGTGTTACTTGAAACAAAGAAACATCATGGATTGAACTTGCTTAAATGGGGTAAGTTGAGCATGTTAATGTCAATGTTATGATATCCATTGTCGTGTGACGTCAAAGATTGTAATGTCCCTTTACTCATGTTGGATTTTGAAGTATTAGCATGCTGCTTTCTTGCTCATTAACCAATTTTTATTGCTGCTCTCTAGATTTTGTTAGTTTAGTAGCTGTTTTTGTTTTTTTGTTTTTTGTCTTCCAAATCAATGCTTTATTTCTCTGTTTTCACTACAGTAAAGGAAGTCGAAGGAGATCCTTATGCCCACTTGTCCTTCAAGGTAGCTCAAAAATTTCGTTTCTTTCAACCCACCTGATGTGATTGCTTCAATTCTACTCGATCGTCAGTATATTTCCATTTCCAGTTGCACCTAAGAGGGTAAGCACAGCCGGTTCTTTTCTCTTGTTATAATTTTATTTCAGTTTGTTCTTCTAGTCTCAACATTGGAGTTATAAACCTGGTTTGTGTTTGGCCTCAGATTGATGGAATTTTAATTATTTGGCCAGTTTAAGAACATGCGCAGTTCTTGAGATAAACATTTTCCTGGTCCGTATGTCCACTACATTCAACGGGTTTAATGAGAGTAGATCTTGCTTGCAATGTACATGTTGAAAACTTCAATGATTCAGTTTAATATTATGTCCAATCCTTTTTCTAATGTATCAAAATTTGTGTTACTTATTGTTTTATTTTTCCTGTTAATAGAAAAAGTAATAATCTAATCTGAAATTTTTCTGTTTTGTTCCCAGTTTTTTTTTAAACTACGAATTTTACTTGGTGTAAACATATCTCCTTCTGTTTGTTAACATTCGTACTGCTGACACGGGCTGCAGTTCATTTTTACAGCATGTGATCTGGAGGCTATATCTAAGTTAAGTAGCATCAGTTTAGTCCTAGTATTTATACAGTCGGTTGAAATTCAATAAGTAGATGTTCTGAATTATTAGTGCTCAGTGTGTGTTATCCAGCTGCTGATACGTTGCAGAGTGTTGATCAGACCAATTTGAAAGGAGCAGGGGGAGAAATAATGATGCGTCTAGTCTGGAGACAGTTTCATCAATGTTATCGATTTAGCTTATTATTTCTGTACCACCTTAGTGTGTTCTATAGGATAGTGTTCCAATCTTCTTTTCTGCCATGTGTTCTGATGTCGATTGTTGTAACGGTTTGAGGGCATTAATTTGCTATCGACTGGGAATGCACACTTGACATGGA